CCCCAGGACACAGCATCACCAACTATACCCCAGGACACAGCACCACCACCCCCAATACCCCAGGACACAGCACCACCACCCTCCATACCCCAGGACACAGCACCACCACTCCATACCAGCCACAACACAGGACACAGCACCACCCACTATACCCCAGGACACAGCACCACCAACTATACCCCAGGACACAGCACCACCAACTATACCCCAGGACACAGCACCACCAACTATACCCCAGGACACAGCATCAGCAACCATACCCCAGGACACAGCATCACCAACTATACCCCAGGACACAGCACCACCAACTATACCCCAGGACACAGCATCACCAACATACCCCAGGACACAGCACCACCAACTATACCCCAGGACACAGCACCACCAACTATACCCCAGGACACAGCATCAGCAACCATACCCCAGGACACAGCATCACCAACTATACCCCAGGACACAGCACCACCACCCCCAATACCCCAGGACACAGCACCACCAACTATACCCCAGGACACAGCATCACCACTATACCCCAGGACACAGCACCACCAACTATACCCCAGGACACAGCACCACCAACTATACCCCAGGACACAGCACCACCACTATACCCAGGACACAGCACCACAACACCCCAGGACACAGCACCACAACACAGGACACAGCACCACCAACTATACCCCAGGACACAGCACCACCAACTATACCCCAGGACACAGCACCACCAACTATACCCCAGGACACAGCACCACCAACTATACCCCAGGACACAGCACCACCAACTAGGACCCAGGACACAGCACAGGACCACACCACTACACCCCAGGACACAGCACCACCAACACACCCCAGGACACAGCACCACCAACTATACCCCAGGACACAGCACCACCAACTATACCCCAGGACACAGCACCACCAACACAGGACACAGCACCACCAACTATACCCCAGGACACAGCACCACCAACTATACCCCAGGACACAGCACCACCAACTATACCCCAGGACACAGCACCACCAACTATACCCCAGGACACAGCACCACCAACTATACCCCAGGACACAGCACCACCAACTATACCCCAGGACACAGCACCACCAACACAGGACACAGCACCACCAACTATACCCCAGGACACAGCACCACCAACTATACCCCAGGACACAGCACCACCAACTATACCCCAGGACACAGACACAGCACCAACTATACCCCAGGACACAGCACCACCAACTATACCCCAGGACACAGCACCACCAACTATACCCCAGGACACAGCACCACAACTATACCACAGGACACACAGCACCACTATACCACCAATACCCCAGGACACAGCACCACCAACTATACCCCAGGACACAGCACCACCAACTATACCCCAGGACACAGCACCACCACTATACCCCAGGACACAGCACCACCAACCATACCCCAGGACACAGCACCACCAACTATACCCCAGGACACAGCACCACCAACTATACCCCAGGACACAGCACCACCAACACCCCAGGACACAGCACCACCAACTATACCCCAGGACACAGCATCAGCAACCATACCCCAGGACACAGCATCACCAACTATACCCAGGACACAGCACCACCACCCACCATACCCCAGGACACAGCACACACCACCAATACCCCAGGACACAGCACCACCAACTATACCCCAGGACACAGCATCACCAACTATACCCCAGGACACAGCACCACCAACATACCCCAGGACACAGCACCACACTATACCCCAGGACACAGCATCAGCAACCATACCCCAGGACACAGCATCACCACATACCCCAGGACACAGCACCACCAACCCCCCAGGACACAGGACACAGCATCACCACCCTCCATACTCCAGGACACAGCACCACCAACCAGGACACACACCAGGACACAGCACACAGCACCCAACCATACCCCAGGACACAGCACCACCAACTATACCCCAGGACACAGCATCACCAACTATAACCCCAGGACACAGCACCACCAACAATACCCCAGGACACAGCACCACCAACTATACCCCAGGACACAGCATCACCAACTATACCCCAGGACACAGCACCACCAACTATACCCCAGGACACAGCACCACCAGCACTACCAACACCCCAGGACACAGCACCACCAACTATACCCCAGGACACAGCACCACCAACTATACCCCAGGACACAGCACCACCAACTATACCCCAGGACACAGCACCACCAACCATACCCCAGGACACAGCAGCCACCAACTATACCCCAGGACACAGCACCACCAACTATACCCCAGGACACAGCACCACCAACTATACCCCAGGACACAGCACCACCAACTATACCCCAGGACACAGCACCACCAACTATACCCCAGGACACAGCACCACCAACTATACCCCAGGACACAGCACCACCAACTATACCCCAGGACACAGGACACAGGCACCACCAACTATACCCCAGGACACAGCACCACCAACTATACCCCAGGACACAGCACCACCAACTATACCCCAGGACACAGCACCACCAACTATACCCCAGGACACAGCACCACCAACTATACCCCAGGACACAGCACCACCAACTATACCCCAGGACACAGCACCACCAACTATACCCCAGGACACAGCACCACCAACTATACCCCAGGACACAGCACCACCAACTATACCCCAGGACACAGCACCACCACAGCACAGGACACAACTATACCCCAGGACACAGCACCACCAACTATACCCCAGGACACAGCACCACCAACTATACCCCAGGACACAGCACCACCAACTATACCCCAGGACACAGCACCACCAAATATACCCCAGGACACAGCATCACCAACTATACCCCAGGACACAGCACCACCACCCCCAATACCCCAGGACACAGCACCACCAACTATACCCCAGGACACAGCACCACCAACTATACCCCAGGACACAGCACCACCAACTATACCCCAGGACACAGCATCAGCAACCATACCCCAGGACACAGCAACACAAGCACCTGCTGCAGCAACAGCAACACAAGCACCTGCTGCAGCAACAGCAACACAAGCACATGCTGCAGCAACAGCAACACAAGCACCAGCTGCAGCAACACAAGCACCTGCTGCAGCAACATCAACACAAGCACCAGCTGCAGCATCACAAGCACCAGCTGCAGCAACACAAGCACCAGCTGCAGCAACACAAGCACCTGGTGCAGCAACATCAACACAAGCACCAGCTGCAGCAACACAAGCACCAGCTGCAGCAACAGCAACACAAACACCAGCTGCAGCAACAGCAACACAAGCACCTGCTGCAGCAACAGCAACACAAGCACCAGCTGCAGCAACAGCAACACAAGCACCAGCTGCAGCAACATCAACACAAGCACCTGCTGCAGCAACAGCAACACAAGCACCAGCTGCAGCAACACAAGCACCTGCTGTAGCAACAGCAACACAACCACCAGCTGCAACAACACAAGCACCAGCTGCAGCAACAGCAACACAAACACCTGGTGCAGCAACAGCAACACAAGCACCAGCTACAGCAACAGCAACACAAACACCTGGTGCAGCAACAGCAACACAAACACCAGCTACAGCAACAGCAACACAAACACCTGGTGCAGCAACAGCAACACAAACACCAGCTACAGCAACAGCAACACAAACACCTGGTGCAGCAACAGCAACACAAGCACCTGCTGCAGCAACAGCAACACAAGCACCTGCTGCAGCAACAGCAACACAAGCACCTGGTGCAGCAACAGCAACACAAGCACCAGCTGCAGCAGCACCAACACAAGCACCAGCTGCAGCAACACAAGCACCAGCTGCAGCAACAGCAACACAAGCACCAGCTGCAGCAACAGCAACACAAGCACCTGCTGCAGCAACAGCAACACAAGCACATGCTGCAGCAACAGCAACACAAGCACCTGCTGCAGCAACAGCAACACAAACACCAGCTGCAGCAACACAAACACCAGCTGCAGCAACACAAGCACCTGCTGCAGCAACACAAGCACCAGCTGCAGCAACACAAGCACCTGCTGCAGCAACAGCAACACAAGCACCTGCTGTAGCAACAGCAACACAAGCACCAGCTGCAGCAACACAAGCACCAGCTGCAGCAACACAAGCACCTGCTGCAGCAACACAAGCACCTGCTGTAGCAACAGCAACACAAGCACTAGCTGCAGCAACACAAGCACCAGCTGCAGCAACACAAGCACCTGCTGCAGCAACAGCAACACAAGCATCAGCTGCAGCAACAGCAACACAAACACCAGCTGCAGCAACACAAGCACCTGGTGCAGCAACATCAACACAAGCACCTGTTGCGGCAACAGCAACACAAGCACCAGCAACACAAACACCAGCTGCAGCAACACAAGCACCAGCAACAGCAACACAAACACCAGCTGCAGCAACACAAGCACCAGCACAGCAACACAAACACAGCTGCAGTGCACCTGGTGCAGCAACATCAACACAAGCACCTGCTGCACCAACAGCAACACAAGCACCAGCTGCAGCAACAGCAACACAAGCACCTGGTGCAGCAACATCAACACAAGCACCAGCAACAGCAACACAAGCACCTGCTGCAGCAACACAAGCACCTGCTGCAGCAACACAAGCACCTGGTGCAGCAACATCAACACAAGCACCTGCTGCAGCAACAGCAACACAAGCACCTGGTGCAGCAACATCAACACAAGCACCTGTTGCAGCAACAGCAACACAAGCACCAGCAACAGCAACACAAGCACCAGCTGTAGCAACACAAGCACCAGCTGCAGCAACACAAGCACCTGCTGCAGCAACAGCAACACAAGCACCTGCTGCAGCAACAGCAACACAAGCACCAGCTGCAGCAACAGAAGCACCTGCAGCAGCAACTTAACAACTTGAGCAACAACAACAACACTGGACTGGGCTCACAGTGTGTACAGGAAGTGTTGCAGACACCGTCGGCTGTAGGGCCAGTTACCGACACCAGGGAAGTGTTGCAGACACCGTCGGCTGTAGTGCCAGTTACCGACACCAGGGAAGTGTTGCAGACACCGTCGGCTGTAGTGCCAGTTACCGACACCAGGGAAGTGTTGCAGACACCGTCGGCTGTAGTGCCAGTTACCGACACCAGGGAAGTGTTGCAGACACCGTCGGTTGTAGTGCCAGTTACCGACACCAGGGAAGTGTTGCAGACACCGTCGGCTGTAGTGCCAGTTACCGACACCAGGGAAGTGTTGCAGACACCGTCGGCTGTAGTGCCAGTTACCGACACCAGGGAAGTGTTGCAGACACCGTCGGCTGTAGGGCCAGTTACCGACACCAGGGAAGTGTTGCAGACACCGTCGGCTGTAGTGCCAGTTACCGACACCAGGGAAGTGTTGCAGACACCGTCGGCTGTAGTGCCAGTTACCGACACCAGGGGGCCCGCTTGTTACCTCAATGGCTTTTCCCCGCTCCAGGAGGCAATTGCAAGGGTTGCTAGGGAGTAGAGTTACACACCTGTGATGCACAGCTGCACTAGGCATCCCACACCTGCCATCTTGCTGTTGAAAACGCTCTACTGGTTCCAAAATAAACAATTCATCTATTTCGGATTTACAGTGTTGCATAAATGTCCTGAATTTTTCAAACGCATTTGTAAATGCCTTATACTGCCTAAAATAGTTGATTAGATTTCATTGATTTTATTTTTAAAAAATTGTAGTATTTTTGAACAGCGATGTTTTCCTGATAAATTAGGAAGCCAAACACGGACTCGCCACATTATTATTAAACTCTCGGGTTCTGCATTTCTCTTGTTTAGAAATTTCTCTGAATATTAACTCTGCAATTATTGATATAAATATTGTAATTAACAACATTTACGCAGCAAGTAAAGTTTACAATCACAAGTAACTTGGCAAACCTCCCAAATGCTTACTTAATTAACATGAATTAATAAAAGATCTCGGATATAACCTAATTCTAATTTATAGCGTTTCTGTTGCTAATTATTTAGGTCATCGGGAAGCTGCGGTGAGATTACCGAAGTGTCGAACCTCCTGATGTAACGAACACATGTGAGTGAAACAGCACGAGAGAAACTGTGAACATTAAACTGCCGAAATATTGACAGCGTGTTCTTCTGAATGACAGCGTGTTCTTCTGAATGACAGCGTGTTCTTCTGAATGACAGCGTGTTCTTCTGAATGACAGCGTGTTCTTCAGGATGACAGCGTGTTCTTCAGAATGACAGCGTGTTCTTCAGAATGAAAGCGTGTTCTTCTGAATGACAGCGTGTTCTTCAGGATGACAGCGTGTTCTTCTGAATGACAGCGTGTTCTTCAGGATGACAGCGTGTTCTTCTGAATGACAGCGTGTTCTTCTGAATGACAGCGTGTTCTTTTGAATGACAGCGTGTTCTCCTGAATGACAGCGTGTTCTTCTGAATGACAGCGTGTTCTTCAGGATGACAGCGTGTTCTTCAGAATGACAGCGTGTTCTTCAGAATGAAAGCGTGTTCTTCAGGATGACAGCGTGTTCTTCAGGATGACAGCGTGTTCTTCTGAATGACAGCGTGTTCTTCAGGATGACAGCGTGTTCTTCAGAGTGACAGCGTGTTCTTCAGAATGAGAGCGTGTTCTTCAGAATGACAGCGTGTTCTTCAGAATGACAGCGTATTCTTCAGGATGACAGCGTGTTCTTCAGGATGACAGCGTGTTCTTCAGAGTGACAGCGTGTTCTTCAGAATGACAGCGTGTTCTTCAGAATAACAGCGTGTTCTTCAGAATGACAGCGTGTTCTTCAGGATGACAGCGTGTTCTTCAGGATGACAGCGTGTTCTTCAGAATGACAGCGAGTTCTTCAGGATGACAGCGTGTTCTTCAGAATTACAGCGTGTTCTTCAGAATGACAGCTTGTTCTTCAGGATGACAGCGTGTTCTTCAGAATGACAGCGTATTCTTCAGGATGACAGCGTGTTCTTCAGAATGACAGCGTGTTCTTCAGGATGACAGCGTGTTCTTCAGGATGACAGCGTGTTCTTCAGGATGACAGCGTGTTCTTCAGAATGACAGCGTGTTCTTCAGAATGATAGCGTGTTCAGAATGACAGCGTGTTCTTCAGAATGACAGCGTGTTCTTCAGAATGACAGCGTGTTCTTCAGAATGACAGCGTGTTCTTCAGGATGACAGCGTGTTCTTCAGAATTACAGCGTGTTCTTCAGAATGACAGCTTGTTCTTCAGAATGACAGCGTGTTCTTCAGAATGACAGCGTATTCTTCAGGATGACAGCGTGTTCTTCAGAATGACAGCGTGTTCTTCAGGATGACAGCGTGTTCTTCAGGATGACAGCGTGTTCTTCAGGATTACAGCGTGTTTTTCAGAATGACAGCGTGTTCTTCAGGATGACAGTTCTTCAGGATGACAGCGTGTTCTTCAGAATGACAGCGTGTTCTTCAGAATGACAGCGTGTTCTTCAGAATGACAGCGTGTTCTTCAGAATGACAGCGTGTTCTTCAGAATGACAGCGAGTTCTTCAGGATGACAGCGTGTTCTTCAGAATTACAGCGTGTTCTTCAGAATGACAGCGTGTTCTTCAGAATGACAGCGAGTTCTTCAGGATGACAGCGTGTTCTTCAGAATGACAGCGTGTTCTTCAGGATGACAGCGTGTTCTTCAGAATGACAGCGTGTTCTTCAGGATGACAGCGTGTTCTTCAGAATGACAGCTTGTTCTTCAGGATGACAGCGTGTTCTTCAGGATGACAGCGTGTTCTTCAGGATGACAGCGTGTTCTTCAGGATGACAGCGTGTTCTTCAGGATGACAGCGTGTTCTTCAGGATGACAGCGTGTTCTTCAGGATGACAGCGTGTTCTTCAGGATGACAGCGTGTTCTTCAGGATGACAGCGTGTTCTTCAGAATGACAGCGTGTTCTTCACAATGACAGTGTGTTCTTCAGGATGACAGCGTGTTCTTCAGGATGACAGCGAGTTCTTCAGGATGACAGCGTGTTCTTCAGGATGACAGCGTGTTCTTCAGAATGACAGCGTGTTCTTCAGAATGACAGCGCGTTCTTCAGGATGACAGCGTGTTCTTCAGGATGACAGCGAGTTCTTCAGGATGACAGCGTGTTCTTCAGGATGACAGCGTGTTCTTCAGAATGACAGCGTGTTCTTCAGAATGACAGCTTGTTCTTCAGAATGACAGCGTGTTCTTCAGGAAAGAGTATCTTACGGTGTTTCTATTTTATAAATTGTCATCCACACTACCGTGGAAATTTATGTGCCGTGGTCGCGGGTCAGTAACTCCTCAGAGCCTCAACAGTAGTCAGGGGGAAAGAAAAAAAATCCATCAAGATAGCAGTAGTTGCCTCTGGAATCTTGGCTTACTGAGACTACTCCATAGAGCTTCAGCCTCACACGCGTGGGGGCCACGGTTCGAGCCTCCGAGAGCCCAGATGAATGAAAATAAATTTCTGTTGTATGCAGGCGATGAGTCACAATAACGTGGCTAAATTATGTTGACCAGACCACACACTGGAAGGTGAAGGGACGACGACGTTTCGGTCCGTCCTGGACCATTCTCAAGTCTCATCGACTTGAAAATGGTCCAGGACGGACCGAAACGTCGTCGTCCCTTCACCTTCTAGTGTGTGGTCTGGTCAACATAATTTCTGTTATATGTAGAGTGATTGCAGCCGCGGAAACATGACACCAATTACAGATGAAGTTGATTGTTTGGTTATGTCTTAGAAAACTTGAGAAGCCATTCAGGATTGTACTATGTGTGAAGGGTGGTTGATATATTCCTAATTATAAATGTGTTATGTGTACTCATTACCTGCCTCACGGAGCTGGGAGGTCAACCCCTCCTCCACAACATCAACAAGTGCATCACTTTCCATCACATAAAGCTGCAGAAACCTGTGGGCCATTTCCACCAAAAAGCACTGTGGAGAAATGCCCGACAGACCACTGGAAGATTATCTAACACAGTGCACAGTTACAACCACAACAGACCACTGGAAGATTATCTAACACAGTGCACAGTTACAACCACAACAGACCACTGGAAGATTATCTAACACAGTGCACAGTTACAACCACAACAGACCACTGGAACATTATCTAACACAGTGCACAGTTACAACCATAACAGACCACTGGAACATTATCTAACACAGTGCACAGTTATAACCACAACAGACCACTGGAACATTATCTAACACAGTGCACAGTTATAACCAGAACAGACCACTGGAACATTATCTAACACAGTGCACAGTTACAAACCCATTAAGATTTCAACTTAGATTCAACAGAGCAGAAGAAGTTGTTAAACACATATGGCAAAATCTTACTGAAGCGACCATACGAGTCATAAATACTCATACTCCGCCCAAGTAAAACAGAAACAAGCAACACTTAGTGGGCCAGCCAGAGGCTTAGGGTCCGTCCAGTGGTCCATTAAGCCTTAGGGCCCGCCCAGTGGGCCAGCCAGAGGCTTAGGGCCCGCTCAGGAATATCCCTGAAAAAAAATCCACCAAAAGTAGAAAATAACATGTCTGAGTAACACGGTCTATGAGAGAGCACACATGGCTCATGTCTATCTAAGGAACAAAGCCAAGCCCGTCCCAGGACAGAGAGAACGTCTAGTCAGCAAATGATCACAATTTCCAAGACCCCACGACAGGGAGGCATTAATAATGGGTTCCATACCAGGATATGTAATTAAATGCAGTAGTAATAGCATATCATGGTAATTTATAAATAAATACTTATAATTATTAAAAAATTCTTTAACCAGATACGTTTGGTTAACGATTTTATAAATATCCCTTTAAAACAGGTTGGGTGGCTATGCTCGCCTTGGGGTGGGTTTAGCTGGTGCTTTGTCGCTGTGACATTAGTGGCATCAGAACAAAATCCATCACCTCTACGAAGACTGCAGTTGTACACGCTGAGTTCCAGCCAGTTCACAGATCCGTGAACCTTTGTAAGGTGGTGTGACCTACACATAAAAGTGTATAACCAATAAGACACACTGTTTAGAGAGACCTAAGTGTGAGACTTGCAGTAAACTGTGAGAGGAGTGTGAGGCCACACCAAGAGGGAGCCACACAGGGGCCTCGTAGCCTGGTGGATAGCGCGCAGGACTCGTAATTCTGTGGCGCGGGTTCGATTCCCGCACGAGGCAGAAACAAATGGGCAAAGTTTCTTTCACCCTAAGTGCCCCTGTTACCTAGCAGTAAATAGGTACCTGGGAGTTAGTCAGCTGTAACGGGCTGCTTCCTGGGGTGTGTGTGTGTGGTGTGGGGAAAAAAAAAAAAAAAAGTAGTTAGTAAACAGTTGATTGACAGTAGAGAGGCGGGCCGAAAGAGCAAAGCTCAACCCCGCAAAAACACAACTAGTAAACACAACTAGTAAACCCTCACACCATACACCATAACACACTACACACCACAGAGTGTATTATACCACATCAAGCTGTTTATCTACTCTGTGGACAGTTAATGTAGTGAAAGAATGAAACTAATTGTGAATTAATTGAGAAACCGTGAAGTGAAGTTATGCTACCAGCCAAACATTATTCCCAAAACCAAAGCTGAAGGACTGATGTAATTTAGTGTTTCAGTAAATTAATCAATAATTAACTTTAATCATTAAATCTAAATGCTCACTTAAAATTGTTTCTAGTTGAGACTGAATCAACAAACTTAATTAAAACTAAATACTAGATAATCTTAACAAAATTCTACTCCCAAAGCGATATGAAAAGGCTTGAAAGCATTCAGAATGAAGCCATGACAATCAGTCTTGGAGTTCCAAGAACTGCCAAAACCTCTAATCTACGAGAGGAATTGTCCCTCCCCAGTGTTAAAAGCAGAATTCAGGAGCTGAATGCTAAGCTTGCAATTAGGGTAGCCAGAGATCCCCATTACAATGATATTGCTAAGAAAAAACTGAGTTCTGTGCTACTTTCAGGGGGAAACAGGAGAAGCAAAAAATGGCATCACAGATCAGTCTGCTACCTCGAAGAACTTCACCTGCTTGAGCAAGCCCGTGAGCTCATGCCTGTAGAAAAGTTACCTCCCTGGGAGGATGACTCTTGCAGGATTATCATCAATGAAATGGCAACGAAAAAATCCAACATGATAGCACGAGTAATGAGACACAAGTATCTCGAGGAAATTTATAAAGAAACCGGAGATGAACTAGATCAAATCTACACTGACGGGTCATCTAAGCCTGTCATTGGCAGGTCTGGTGCAGCATACACGGTAATTAAGGATAATACTTTCCAACGAAGAAATGAAGAAAAGGCACGTATTGAGAACTATGCCTCTTCAACGCAAGCAGAGCTAACTGCCATTGTTATGGCGTTAAGATTCCTTGAACGGAACACTAATGGTGCAGTGATCTGCACCGATTCCAAAGCAGCACTACAAAGCCTAGGAAAAAATCGGGCAGAAAATCTTGCAATAGTCGATGAAATTAAGAGAGCTGTGAGAGTACTTACCAATCAGGGAAGAATCATCAAGTTTCTGTGGATCCCCTCCCATGTTGGGGCTCCCCTCCCATGTTGGAATATGTGGGAATGAACGAGCAGATGTGCTGGCTGCTGAAGGCGCTGAAGGAGACCATACTGAATACTTCATACCCAAGACTCTACTACAAATTAGAGATATTGTCAGGCAACATCACCGTGACAAGGTAACTGAGGAAAGGAGAATAGAAGCACAAACCAGTGAATCTGTACGATGGTACAACATGGTTGCAGCTGGCAATCCCAATCATTATGGACGAAGAGGACGAGGACACGGGAGAGAATCAGTAATAGCGAGAATCCGTCTTGGATACAAATATCCACGGAGATACGGAATGGAAACAACAGTTGATCAGAGAAGTTGCAGAATCTGTGGTGAGAGTGACGAACACCGTCTTGACCACTATCTACGTGAATGTGAACACCTGAGAGACATTAAAAATATGTGTAGAATAATAAACCCCACATTGTTTGAGTTAGGAAAACACTATTTATCAAATATTGATGCTGTTCTTAAAAGATTCCCCCATTTTGCACCCGCAAGATAACATAAGCTTTTAAGGGCTGACAAATGTTAATCTTGTTGTTCGAGGAGCGGTTCACTAGAGACAGTTAAGCAAGTCCCAGCTGTGTCTGGGTACAAGTGACAGGATGAACAACCCAGCGGGTTTTCTTTCTTTTGGGGAGTGTTGTACATGCTGCTATGGCGGTGTGACCACTCATAAGATGAGTGGCGCTGCCCAATAAACTCGCCTTCGGGGCAAAATTACAAAAAAAATCAATTAAATTACCACTTCTGTGGTATTGTGTTACAAGTAGTAGCATACAGTCCACTAAATTTGTTGAGTACATAAGTTAACAACTCAACCCCACAGTTACAACACCCAGGACGTAACTGATGACCATTAAGTATACTCACGGACATCACCAAAGACATCAATAATGATTCATCAATAATGAGAGAACATATAAATACCATCGCTGTTCATAACACAGCATCGCATATATTTAAAATATGAGGTCAAAGCTAAACGATTGTTCCATATCAACAATATATACTATTTTCCAGTCGCCCTCCTAAACCTTACTTCCATTCAGACCTCATGTATGCCTCACGTAAATAAGCCATACATATAATGCACTGTGTTGAATTGCTTCTATTAGGTTATTAGAATGAAGTCTTTAACCAGAAAGATCATCCACAAGTGAACTTTTTTTCCAGATTTGTGGTTTCAGCGCTTCACAATTCTCAACTGGGATCAACTTATACTCGTGTAATACCATCCCTAATCATAGGTCCACAGAGCCATTATATCCACACTCGGCCTCACACACCCCAAGCCTCATCCTCATTACTGTGAGACTGACACAAGCCTGTCTCACCTTCAGAGCCAGAACAGCAACCACACCACACGCTGTCATATCCGTCTTTGATCCAGCGACAACAAAGCCGTGGTGTTCGCGCCATGAACCTGACAGACTGTGTCATAGTTACTACTGTGCCTCCACCTCACACGAACTCACATGAAAGTGAGCCTTTGGGGCTAACACTCTCATATATAACGGAATGATTATATAAAACGGTGAAAGGTGTGATATTTTAGCAGGAAGTACCTGGCGAGGGCGAGCACGTCCCAGTGTATGTGGTAGGGGAAGTACCTGGCGAGGGCGAGCACGTCCCAGTGTATGTGGTAGGGGAAGTACCTGGCGAGGGCGAGGACGTCCCAGTGTATGTGGTAGGGGAAGTACCTGGCGAGGGCGAGGACGTCCCAGTGTATGTGGTTGGGGAAGTGCCTGGCGAGGGTGAGGACGTCCCAGTGTATGTGGTAGGGGAAGTGCCTGGCGAGGGTGAGCACGTCCCAGTGTATGTGGTAGGGGAAGTGCCTGGCGAGGGCGAGGACGTCCCAGTGTATGTGGTAGGGGAAGTGCCTGGCGAGGGCGAGGACGTCCCAGTGTATGTGGTAGGGGAAGTGCCTGGCGAGGGCGAGCACGTCCCAGTGTATGTGGTAGGGGAAGTGCCTGGCGAGGGCGAGCACGTCCCAGTGTATGTGGTAGGGGAAGTGCCTGGCGAGGGTGAGCACGTCCCAGTGTATGTGGTAGGGGAAGTGCCTGGCGAGGGCGAGGACGTCTCAGTATACGCTTGTGGGAGAGAGGGAGGAATTATGATAATATAAGCCTGCATTTAGTACAGCAGACATGTGGGAGATAGTACAGCAGACATGTGGGAGATAGTAAAGCAGACATGTGGGAGATAGTAAAGCAGACATGTGGGAGATAGTAAAGCAGGCATGTGGGAGATAGTAAAGCAGACATGTGGGAGATAGTAAAGCAGGCATGTGGGAGATAGTAAAGCAGACATGCGGGAGATAGTAAAGCAGGCATGTGGGAGATAGTAGAGCAGACATGCGGGAGATAGTAGAGCAGACATGCGGGAGATAGTAGAGCAGACATGCGGGAGATAGTAGAGCAGACATGCGGGAGATAGTAGAGCAGACATGCGGGAGATAGTAGAGCAGACATGCGGGAGATAATGACACCTCACGCCCACAGTCACACCACTCCTACTGTATAGAGAAAAGTTTCTCATTCAACAAGTGTATGAATAATACAGGTGGCCCGAGCGGTGGTAGAGGCAGCTGTAGCCGGGACCCCTCGCAGCCACGAACACCGTCCAGTGAACAATACGGCCATGAACACTGTTCAGTGAACAATACAGCCATGAACACTGTTCAGTGAACAATGCAGTCATGAACACTGTCCAGTGAACAATGCAGTCATGAACACTGTCCAGTGAACAATACAGCCATGAACACTGTCCAGTGAACAATGCAGTCATGAACACTGTCCAGTGAACAATGCAGTCATGAACACTGTCCAGTGAACAATACAGCCATGAACACTGTCCAGTGAACAATACAGCCACGAACACCGTCCAGTGAACAATACAGCCACGAACACTGTCCAGTGAACAATGCAGTCATGAACACCGTCCAGTGAACAATACAGCCATGAACACTGTCCAGTGAACAATACAGCCATGAACACTGTCCAGTGAACAATACAGCCACGAACACCGTCCAGTGAACAATACAGCCACGAACACTGTCCAGTGAACAATGCAGTCATGAACACCGTCCAGTGAACAATACAGCCATGAACACTGTCCAGTGAACAATACAGCCATGAACACTGTCCAGTGAACAATACAGCCACGAACACCGTCCAGTGAACAATACAGCCACGAACACTGTCCAGTGAACAATGCAGTCATGAACACCGTCCAGTGAACAATACAGCCATGAACACTGTCCAGTGAACAATACAGCCATGAACACTGTCCAGTGAACAATACAGCCACGAACACTGTCCAGTGAACAATACAGCCACGAACACTGTCCAGTGAACAATACAGTCATGAACACTGTCCAGTGAACAATACAGCCATGAACACTGTCCAGTGAACAATACAGCCATGAACACTGTCCAGTGAACAATACAGCCATGAACACCGTCCAGTGAACAATACAGCCATGAACACTGTCCAGTGAACAATGCAGTCATGAACACTGTCCAGTGAACAATACAGCCATGAACACCGTCCAGTGAACAATACAGCCACGAACACTGTCCAGTGAACAATGCAGTCATGAACACTGTCCAGTGAACAATACAGCCATGAACACTGTCCAGTGAACAATACAGCCATGAACACTGTCCAGTGAACAATACAGCCATGAACACCGTCCAGTGAACAATACAGCCATGAACACTGTCCAGTGAACAATACAGCCACGAACACCGTCCAGTGAACAATACAGCCACGAACACTGTCCAGTGAACAATGCAGTCATGAACACCGTCCAGTGAACAATACAGCCACGAACACCGTCCAGTGAACAATGCAGTCATGAACACCGTCCAGTGAACAATACAGCCATGAACACTGTCCAGTGAACAATGCAGTCATGAACACCGTCCAGTGAACAATACAGCCATGAACACTGTCCAGTGAACAATGCAGTCATGAACACCGTCCAGTGAACAATACAGCCATGAACACCGTCCAGTGAACAATACAGCCACGAACACTGTCCAGTGAACAATGCAGTCATGAACACCGTCCAGTGAACAATACAGCCACGAACACCGTCCAGTGAACAATACAGTCATGAACACCGTCCAGTGAACAATACAGTCATGAACACCGTCCAGTGAACAATACAGCCACGAACACCGTCCAGTGAACAATACAGCCACGAACACTGTCCAGTGAACAATGCAGTCATGAACACTGTCCAGTGAACAATACAGCCATGAACACCGTCCAGTGAACAATACAGCCATGAACACTGTTCAGTGAACAATACAGTCATGAACACCGTCCAGTGAACAATACAGCCATGAACACCGTCCAGTGAACAATACAGTCATGAACACCGTCCAGTGAACAATGCAGTCATGAACACTGTCCAGTGAACAATACAGTCATGAATACTGTCCAGTGAACAATGCAGTCATGAACACTGTCCAGTGAACAATACAGTCATGAACACTGTCCAGTGAACAATGCAGTCATGAACACTGTCCAGTGAACAATACAGTCATGAACACTGTCCAGTGAACAATGCAGTCATGAACACTGTCCAGTGAACAATACAGTCATGAACACTGTCCAGTGAACAATACAGCCATGAACACTGTTCAGTGAACAATACAGCCATGAACACTGTTCAGTGAACAATACAGCCATGAACACTGTTCAGTGAACAATACAGCCATGAACACTGTCCAGTGAACAATACAGCCATGAACACTGTTCAGTGAACAATACAGCCATGAACACTGTTCAGTGAACAATACAGCCATGAACACTGTTCAGTGAACAATACAGCCATGAACACTGTTCAGTGAACAATACAGCCATGAACACTGTTCAGTGAACAATACAGCCATGAACACTGTTCAGTGAACAATACAGTCATGAACACCGTCCAATGAACAATACAGCCACGAACACCGTCCAGTGAGCAATACAGTTATGAACACTGTCCAGTGAACAATACAGCCATGAACACTGTCCAGTGAACAATACAGTCATGAACACTGTCCAGTGAACAATACAGCCATGAACATCGTCCAGTGAACAATACAGCCATGAACACTGTCCAGTGAACAATACAGTCATGAACACCGTCCAGTGAACAATACAGCCACGAACATTGTCCAGTGAACAATACAGTCATGAACACTGTCCAGTGAACAATACAGCCATGAACACTGTCCAGTGAACAATACAGTCATGAACACTGTCCAGTGAACAATACAGTCATGAACACCGTCCAGTGAACAATACAGCCACGAACACTGTCCAGTGAACAATACAGCCATGAACACTGTTCAGTGAACAATACAGCCATGAACACTGTCCAGTGAACAATACAGCCATGAACACTGTTCAGTGAACAATACAGCCATGAACACTGTCCAGTGAACAATACAGCCATGAACACTGTCCAGTGAACAATACAGCCATGAACACTGTTCAGTGAACAATACAGCCATGAACACTGTCCAGTGAACAATACAGCCATGAACACTGTTCAGTGAACAATACAGCCATGAACACTGTTCAGTGAACAATACAGCCATGAACACCGTCCGGTGAACAATACAGCCAACAGAACATGTCGGGTTCGTGGTGAAGATCTCAGCCTGAACACGATGGGACGTGATAGAGACACATCGGCTGAGAGGGTTCAGGACGCAACCCGTTCTCTTAAAAATGCCGTCACTTTTGCCTCGTATGCGCACTATGGCCAAATTTGGACGTATTTTGAAGTGAAATCGACTCAAAAAAGTGACGTGCTGTTCCGTTTTCTGTTTGAGTCGTCCGGCTGACTTGGTAAGGTTAGAAGAGGAAACTTTCTATTAACGTTTTTCATAACGTTTTGAAACTTTATGAGAATTTCCTGGCCACCTAACCTATCACAGGACCCTTAACATACTGTTGCTGAAAAAAAATACCAAATTTATTTTCATTTTCAAATTACGTCCACTTTCGACCATACTGGCAAACGACCAAAAGCGACGTTCCTTTTAAGTGGACAGGTTGAACGAGATCTGTAGAGAGGCCCACAGATCCCCCAGCACCCCCACACATCCTGTCATCAGACAACCCGTTCTCGCATTTGCTTATAGTCAATATTGGCTTATTTAATAAGTGCATATGTGACATACTAATTGATTGTGAATATTTCGTTACCTTGAAGAGCTTCATAGAAAACACCGACCTCACCTAACGTTCTTAGTATGTTAAGATAAGCATCTTATTGCTTCTTAATTACAATTATTGTTTAACATATACTCTTGATAGGTTAAGTAATAATTGTAATTAAGAAGCAATAAGATGCTTATCTTAACATACTAAGAAGGTTAGGTGAGGTCGGTGTTTTCTATGAAGCTTTTCAAAGTAAACTAAAATATTCACAATCAATTAGTATGTCACATATGCACTTATTAAATAAGCCAATATTGACAGAAGCAAGTGCGAGAACGGGTTGCATCAGATGACCTCCTTGGGGGGGGGGGGGGGGGGGACGGGTCACAGGCAGGGGAAGGGGCCGGTGGCTGGGTGGACAGCACGATGCACACGTAATCCTGTGGTCCGAGGTTCGATTCCCAGCGCCGGCAAGAAACAATGGGCAGAGTTTCTTTCACCCTGATGCGCCTGTTACCTAACAGTAAATAGGTACCTGGGAGTTAGACAGCTGTTATGGGCTGCTCTGTGTGTGGTGTGTGTGTGTGTGTGTGTGTGTGTGTGTGTGTGTGTGTGTGTGTGTGTGTGTGTGTGTGTGTGTGTGAGTGTCTGTGTGTGTGTGTGTGTACTCACCTATTTGTACTCACCTATTGTGCTTGCGGGGGTTGAGCTTTGGCTCTTTGGTCCCGCCTCTCAACTGTCAATCAACTGGTGTACAGATTCCTGAGCCTACTGGGCTCTATCATATCTACATTTAAAACTGTGTATGGAGTCAGACTCCACCACATCACTGCCTAATGCATTCCATCCGTTAACTACTCTGACACTGAAAAAGCTCCTTCTAACGTCTCTGTGGCTCATGTGGGTATTCAGTTTCCACCTG